AGATGAAAGAGGATGAAGATGAGGATGAAGCTGAGATGATGGAAGAAGATGAGGATGAATATGGGAGATGGGATGCAATGGGAGATGGGATGCAATGGGAGATGATGACCCAACCAGCCTGTATTGTTTGGAAACACTGCTACAAAGGTGTCATTACCTAGGTATGGTACTTCTGCCCTTTCTTTTCTTTTCTTTTCTTTTCTTTTTTTCTTGAAAATGTTTGATTATATGCTGATATTTCTTGCTTGAAAAGATTGAGTATGTGGGTTTCTTGCTGATATTCGACTGTGTTCTTTCCTTACCTTTTTTTTTTCTTGAAAATAGAGATTGAGGGTGTGGCTTGTCTTTTGTCAATACCATATGAAATATATGTTTCTGGCAATATTGAGGGTGTGGCTTTTCCATTATGTTCTTGCTTTTCTTTTCTTTCGATTTCGTTTCTTTTTTTTCTTGATAATACAGTGGATGTTCGATTGTGTGCTTTTGTTTCTGTCTGCCCAGACATCCTATTACTGGACTATTAACTGGTTTTTTTGTTTTTTGATTTTGTCTAGTTGAGTTTGTTAGTTTTTTCAGTTGGTGTTTTATTTAACAAAACTAACATTGGATATATTTAGATATGTGGGTTTTCCATTTTATTTATTTTTTAAATATTAATGGTTCTTTCTTTCTTTCTTTCGTTTTTTTTCTCGCAATATTTAGATGTTGGTTTCGATTGGAATGATAACATGTTGGTTTTTCATCATGTTGAAGATGATGAAAAAGCTGAAAAGATGGAAGATGATGAGGATGAAGCTGAGGAGATGGAAGAAGATGAAGATGATGAAAAAGCTGAGAAAATGGAAGAAGATGAGGATGAAAATGAGGATGAAGCTGAGAAGATGGAAGAAGATGAAGATGAGGATGAAGCTGAGAAGATGGAAGAAGATGAGGATAAAGATGATGAAAAAGTTGAGAAGATGGAAGAAGATGAGGATGAAGTTCATGAAGAACTTGAGAAAGGTCTTAACCAAGAGGACCGATCAACCCAAAAGCAGTCTCGGGTTGTTTGGACCGAAGAGCTACATCGGTCGGTGTTTTGTGGCCGCTGTTAATGACTTAGGTGTTGACAGTAAGTTATTCACTCTTTCTCTACAATGCAAAGTAGTTGTTATCTTAATTGTTATTAATTGCTACAATTGGTCAATCAATTGATGTTTCTGCTTTATTTTAGCAATACTTTTATTATATTTTTGTGTAGAAATAGCAATCAAATCCTAATAATATTACAATGTAAAAACTAGTTCCATCACCTCTCTTTGCAAACTTCATTTCCACAAGTGTCTTCACATCCACTGCCCAGAATCCAACCATAATTCTTCGAACATCTATCTCAGCCCCACTTGGATATATAATTTCTGTCATAATATTGGAATCTGCACCAAAATAAAAAATGGCTTCTCCGTTGTTAATACTAGTGTGCATTTCCAAATAACAAACAAATCCACTGCCCATGTATTCCTCTATTTCAGTAATCCTTTCCTTGGAGTAAGCTAATATACTTATTTGGCATCTCTCAAAAACTGAACAAATCAAAATTCAAATTTTCCTTAATTCGATCATGATTAATTTGGTCTCATGAGAGCTGGAAGCTGCCCAATTGGTCCCAACTGTGTCTTCCATTCGCTGCCAAAAATGGAACAATGATGCCTTTTTCCATTCATGTGAAAACTCTGGGTTTTTTTTTTGTATTGCAAAAGTATATGTTTGCTGTATTTTTCCAATTGCTGTATTTTTTTGTTCAACATTATTTTGAATGCTTTCTCAAATACTCTTCCTAATCTGTAGTGCACTGGAGTAGATGTCATGGCATTATTGTTAATGAAGTCTGACACATTTGTATGTTCTTTTGATTGCAGAGGTTGTACCTAGAAAAATTCTTCAATTGATGAAGGCTGAGAAGCATCTTACTAGGGCGCATGTGGCCAGCCATCTGCAGGTATTTTTTTCTTTTCCTTTCTGCTTTAATTTCATAAAACCATAGTTTTTCATTTATAGAACTTTATTTGTTTTGTTAATTGCTGCAGAAATAAAGACTTCGACTGAAAAGAATCAGGTCTAAGGCAACCCAGCAAGTCAGTCCTTTTAAATATCCTCTTCATCTGGTGAGATGATTAGTCCTAGGCAAACAAGTAATATTGTGCCATTTCAGGGTTTGCTGACCAAAGCCAGGATGGCAGTTATGCTTCACATCTTACCAATTTAAGCTCAATAGGCTCAATCTTAAATGAAGACTTGGACTTGGACTTTGATTCTGACTTTGATCTTTATGATCCTACACAAATGATTGACTCGGATTATTACACAAATGATTGACTCGGATTATTTGTTGTCTATGTAGTTGATAACACCAATTATTTGTTGTCTATGTAGTTGTAAATGGGATTCAAATTTAATTCTTTGGCTTCCCAGATTTGTTCTCTACTGAGATTGACCTCCATTCATTTGTATTTTCTTTGAGTTTGTATAACCAACAAGTCACGTAACCATGCATTCTTTCTATTTTTATACTTTTATTTTCACTATTGTTCTTGTTTGGTTAATAATTAGTCTGATCAACATCGACATTTTTTGTGAATGATTGAACAAGATTATTTGTAAAGACTGATGAGTCTAATGTGGATGGAAAATTTAGCTTTCTAAAATTTTTGTGAATGATACCGAAGTGTCAATTACTAGTATAAATGTCCATAGATTATTCAATATGTTAATGTTTTTGAGTTATATAAGAGGAGTAGATAACTCTTTGGATCATATAGCCTCAAATTATGATTGAGCAGGGTTACATAAAAGGGACAAGAGTAAAGGGGGTAAAATTGTTCTATTTACATGTTTCAGCAAGTGCTTACAGTGGTACTTACATGTAATTGACCCATGAAGGAGCATCAACATGAATCAAACTCACGACGATTTAGTAAAAATTATCAACAAGAGTTGTTATGTTTTTTGAAAAGGAGTAATTATTCTACCTAATTGATAAAAACATATATGACGTAAGAAGATGACAAATATATATGATACATGGACTTGTATAGAGATGACACTAGTCCACTACCATATTCTGAAACAGAAATGTCTTAATAATATATATATATATATATATATATATATATATATGGGGCAGGATATTCTTACACCGGTGTAAGAGTTAGAAGTCTTACAATCGATCTTGACCAGTGATCCACTTGTATCCAATGGCTCATATTACTAAAAAATTAGAGCCCTTAGATATAAGTGGGATCAACGGACAAGATTGAGAGTGTAACTTATACTGGTGTAAAATGATCCTGACCCTATATATATATATATATATATATATATATATATATATATATATATGAAAGGTGGAGAAAATTCTAGATATTTGTGCTCGCTTATAGATCTAGATTACTGAATAACTGTTGTTTTAAATCCATGATCTGTTTGGTGGAAAGAGAGAAAATTTATTTATTTTATCATAAGCATTTCTTCAAAATTATAAGGTGTTCTATTTATTTTTTTAGTCCTCTTTTTTAAATTTTAAAGGGAAAATATTTAGTTACAAAAAAAAAGGGAAAATATTTTTTATTTTAAAGGACATGATTTTATATTATTCTAAATAAAATTATATCGTTTTAATATATATTTAATGATTTTTAATATTTTCTTTCCTCTGTATAATTAGAAGCAGAGAGACCTAAAATAAAAGTCATCAAATTTAAAATGACAATTAATTGTTTACAAAAAAAAATGACAATTGATTTTTCCAATTTAAAATGTGTAAATTTTATAAAAGGGTATGAGACACCGTGTAGGTGAGCATTTAAAACTCAGCAATACTTGTATTTTAGGAAAAAAAGGAAAAGAAGAAAGTTCACTTTAATTATGCATGTGTACGAGGTTAGCTGTGTATACTATGTAGGCTATTTGACCATTTTTGGGCTTTATCATGTCTATTTTTGTAACAGCCCGTTGTACACCGGTATTGTTAGCATTAATTATGATATTAAGCGCAGTTACAATCACAGCAATTCATTTATAAAAATGCAAATAAACTTTTTCCGATTATTACGCGAGCATTTAACACATAAAAAACGTAATAATTAAAAGCTGCGACCATAACCGTAAACTCTTGCGGAAGACTTATTTAAACTATTTTTATAACTTACATTACTTATCATAAGTTACTAAGGGGTTCCCATAAACCCACTTAGCCAATTTCCAATCTTTACGTTTTTACCAATTCGGACATGTTTCACCCTTAATTTTTCTGCGACCACACCGTTCGTAGCCAAACTCTCTTCTCAGATTATATCTTTGTCTTACTTAATTCCCTTTTCAACAAGCTATCATACGCTCAATTTGGAGCTCATTAGCTCCGGTTATCGCCGTTTGAAGTTGGATCAGCAAATAGCCAAACAACCCCAAAAACAGCACCAAACCACTCACCTTACTCGATTTACTGCTCTCAAATTTTTATCCTACAAAATAGACATCTCAAACTTCATTTTGATATATCACACGCTTAATTTGACTGAGAAACGAAGAGGGAATAAATTTCCCAAATCCGGTCCAGAATCTGCCTCAGGTGCAGGGGCACATGAGCAGTCCGTGTTTCTCTATTTGTTTCAGGCCGAATATCAACCCATAATTTCCTCAAATTTTGACACAAGGTAGAGGACATCTCAACCTTCAAAATGGCATATGGCACGTCCCTATTGGACCTCTATGGAGGGAGATATGCTCTCCCGAAGTTCGCCTAAAATCTGCCAATTCTACAGAAATTTCGCCAGAGTTTCCTTTGTTTTTCCAATAATCCCAAAATTGTAAACGATCATTTAAACCTCAAATGTACCTAATAAACACATGATACTACAGTAATAATCCAATGGATGGCACACACAAGGACCAACAACGCCTTGGGGAACTTACAACCCAATCCAGTTTATAGTTATTACACAGTTTATACAATAGAGCTCACATTATATTTCTTACTTGTTTCAATCACATAGGTCCCATTCACATGTAGTTTCACAATATAAGCATGTAATCATAACTCTAACATAGGCCTAAAATCCTTCCATCTTGGTACATCATGCCTCTCTTACATTTACAACATACACTTAAATATTACAACTTACGACTTTAACTTCAAATTGCCTTTTACAATATTACAACACCAATTACAAATTTAGACATAAATTTAAATGATACAAACTACTAGGCCTAGGCATGCCAATATGAACAATATGCCAAATACTGAAAATGTTCCTCTATCACCCTGCGGGCCTCTTGCCCGCTGCTCCAACGCTACAGGTACATCCTGAAATAAATGCCCCGAGACGGGGTGAGATATACGAATATATCTCAGTAACCAAGAGGTTCTGGAGAAAACTCCACCCAATGGTTCACTTCTATGCATATCAATAGAATAAAACAACCACTTTGAAAACGGGATATAGCAAGAGATTTAGAGAAGTGGGGAATATAAAGAAACAAACTACGACGATACGGGATGGTAACCCCAATTCCACGTACGCCCTGGGCATATATAAGCCTATGGGTATCATCCAAGGTGTGTTCACAGAAACCACAACCATGATGCCCAAACCAACCAAAACGCCAAAGACATTCCTAGTGTGCTCCTACCCGGATCACACACCATGACACGCAGTCAACTGGAACTCCTTCCTGGAGACCTATCCAGCGGAAGTCCGAAAATGCCCGAAGGCTAATAAAACTGTCTACTGGCCAGAGACTCGGTACCGCAGTACCCATAGCAATAATGCATGCATGCTCACGTGTTCTATACTATTCATACACATTTCCTACCGTTGCCATCAACTGACAAGGTGGAACAGAAAAGGGGAACAAGCCCCAGTACCAAGAGGTTACCTCAATATGTTACTCCACTTAGCTCCACAGCAGCTTAGGTTCCAAGTTTGTTACTCAACAGAACGCCTACACATAGGACGTTCCCAATTACTCAAAACTCATACGAATGCATGCAATTTACAACAATACAAGCATGATTCAACCACTTACCTCAATCCCACTTGGTCCAGGACCAAGGGCAATCCACCGACTCACGGTTCGGTGTTCAAATCGACGTACGGCAACCTATAGTAACCATGTACGAATCGTCAGTACACGACAATTCCATCAAAATACGAAAAACGTCAAATTTCACTCCTACACCTTGTAGGTTCGGCCCCTTAAGGCTTATTTCACAAATTATTTTTCTAAATTTTCTTTCTCATTTTATTATACTTCCACAAGTTGCCAAAAGGCCATACCAAGTGTCATTTTTCACTTTACGTCTTTTAAACAATGTTTTGCCAAATATTTTACTCTAGGATCCTTTATGGCAATTAACACCTTCAATCATTTTTCATTGATTCTACAACCTTTAAACCACCACACAACCCATCTAAGTATCATTTAGCACATCATACATCACTCAAATAATTTCCAACAACATTCATTCCTTAATTTCCCTTTAAAGGCCGAATTGCACATAATCCATTCCAAGGAATTTTCACCCAATTTTAACCATTCCACACCTCATACAATCCCATTATATCAACATATAATCATACAACAACTCACCAATACAATCCTAACACATTTTCAAAATTCAAAGTCATGACAACCTCAAAATTTTCTAAGTTACAAAATCATATTTTTCACCAATAATTTTCATGGCATTTCTAGCTCTAACACATCATTCTAAGACATTATCATCTAATACACATTTTCTATTTGAGCTCTCTAACATCACAAATCAAACAAGCCCTCTTTAGGGTTCATAAACAAATTCGAAAATAAATCTTCAAATCAATCCATGAGGGGTGTTGAAACTTACCCACAATTACGTCACAAGACTCCTCCTAGAACTCCACAAGCAATGGCTCAAGAAATCAACCCCAAAATCACAAAAATCCTAAGAATTTCGTGGCTGTATATGGCTCTTTTCTCACCATAGAGAGGGTTTCAAGGGAAACTAATCGGTGGAACGGGTTCGGATGGTGATTTCCATCGAATTTCAACACAATAATCGTCCGATTCGGTTAAGAATTGATGAAGTTATGAAGAAATCAAACAAAACAAATAAAAAAAACGAAAATGGAAGGGGGAGGGCTGATCCACGGGGAAGAAGGGAGAAGAGGAGAGAGAATGTGTCATGTAAATGTGACTTTTAAGTCACTTAAGCCATAGGTGGGTCCTACACGCGATTTAACTTTAATCAATCACTAATTTCAACCACAAATTCCTTTCCTATGTATTTTTCTCGTTTATGTCATATTTTTGTTTCCTAAAAATACTGATAAAAGTTTCACGCTTATCGGTACAATTATACCGCAGTATTTTTACACCGAAAATCACTATTCATTAATTTTTTTCCCCAAAATGACTTAATTCCAACAAATTTTATCAAAATCATATTTCCTAACTCAACAACCATTTATAACTCATATTTGAAACCTAGAGCTCAAAATTCAACTGGCACGTTCTACGGTGCAATCGTAACGCGGTATTTTTACCCGCGAAAAACACTATTCACTGATTTTTCTGAAACTTGCCTATCAACTCAATTTTTCGTTCTGAATCCATTTCCAGGGTTATTTTTATCATCGGAGACCTTCTGCTCAATTTTTATCTTCCTAGGGTTGCGTGTTGGCTAATTACCGTTTTGCCCTTTCTTTGTATTTTGGCCTTATACTCAGGATTTTCACTAATCCTTCTCTTTAATTCTCATTTAATATTTTAAATATTATATTTTAGAAATGTGAGGTGTTATACTCACCCCAACTTTTAGAATTTTGTCCGCAAAATTAACTCATACTCATCCGCTAACTCAGGACATAGTCGGAGAATATCATTTTTCCGTTCCCAAGTAGCATCCTCAAGTGTGTATCTTTACCATTTTACTTTTATCATAGATATAGTCTCCTTTTCGTGATACTCATTATCCTTCGACCCTTCATAATTTCTCGTCTCTCATGGTTCTGTGACCTTTTAATGCACAATACTTTAAATTTTCCATGGTTTACTGTTACCCTTTCGCTGATTTGCAGGTAATAATATAGCAATATTACGGATTTGTCGGTATCAATTTACCTCATTCTCATCTTTATCCATCTTTCTGACCTATGGTCGTTCTCAAAAGCATCTAATCGTTTTCATGCACATTCACTAGTTATTCCTGGAGTATTTCCAACTCACGTTCTTTAGTACTTAACTTTTTTCGCGGTCCCCACTGTTTTGACAATACCCCAACAACCATTTCTTTCCATTACTGTCACTACTCTTATCATTTCGTTGTTTTCTTGGCTTTCACCCAAGCACATGCTTTCTAGTTTCAAAGGCACTTTGTCGTGTCCTACAATTCCGATTCACATTAAATTCTATACTCATATACTTTATTTTTCCTTGTCACGTGCCTTCACCTCTTTTTAGGTACTCACAACTATATCTTTCTCTCTGTGATACGAAACTAACAATACTCATCATAGTTTATATTTTCGATTAGCCCTATAAGGCCCTTCAACCACAAACACACTCCCGAATTTTCTTTTCCATCTACAAAATCATGTTCATAATTTACACTCATTGTTAAACTCTTTATTAACTTAACCATCTCAATTTTACCAACTCAATCAGCTCAACTCCATACTTAGACCTCTCATAGTCTAAACACAACACTCATTAATGACCTCCACATGAAGGCCTCATGCTTAATATTTTCTCCCACTAACTATTTTCAACTTTCATTCCACTCCGGTGTTACAACTTAACCATTTGTTCCACTTATTTATACCACTTCTTCATAATCATCGTCATTTAATCCTGGATGTCAAACTCAATATAATATCACCTTACAGTTTTACCAACTTTCACCAAATACCTTGGGACGAATCATTTTTCCACACCCATTTCACTATTAACTGATGGACCACTAAAAATGTCATGTCTCTCACATGCAAGTCTCATCCTATAGGAATCTTTGAAACTTGATTATCAAGTCACATAAAACTAAATCCATCATTGCCACTACTTATACAATTCACCATTGGTTGGTATATCAGAGTCTCAAAATATTCGAAGTTACCACAAGCACTCGACCATATATTATTAGTACCTAACCAAAACAACGTCAGCACTGTGCATTTTCCACACACTTTCCACCATAAGTGGTATATGCGATTATATATAACACTCCTCAATTCACTCTATCAGTACAACCAAGCTATCAGCTTTTAGGCAACTGATCGCAATTCCAGCTTCCAACTATTATTACACATTCGTGCTTGATTCCATGACAATTTACCTTTTATAAGGGCTAATAATTCACCGTTTTAACCTGAACTCTTGATCATCACCAGCCTTCCTAGAAGGACACTTACTCCATCTGTCAACATTAAATCACACTATTATCTCTTTTATCATAAGGCGAGGATTCCAACAAACTTACTACCTCACTTGGAGCCGATATTATTTCATCGAACTTACTTTACACCCACAATAGTGCTTCACTATCACACTTCTAAAATTTTTACACACTATGCCTCACCTCTTGTATCCAATTCTGACATACTATTGTCCATTTACAAATATCTGACCTCATATTTTGCGTTAATCACATGGAAGAACTCTCTCAATACAGTGGGTAACAACATTCACAGGTTTTAACCGCTCGAGCTCTTGCTGTCCTCAGGGCCCCAGATGTAATGACCCACCGATCAGAGAATCCACCCATATAATCCATGCAGTAATGATAACCTACCACCTGCTGACTGTGTTCTATTAGTATTCCCAACGTTTCTTATTTGTGCACTTATGTAGATCAATTCAACTATAATAGCAGTCTCATCACTGCAGGATACTTCCTCATCTCATATTACTCGTATAACATAATAATAGTCTCCGCGAACATAATCCGCACGGAGATGGCTACACACTCCGGGCACATAGGCCGCACAGAGATGGTAATATCAAGTCTTATAACGTGCACCCAGTGCACAGAGGAGTTCATATTTATATCACATCTGTATACAACAGCAAACGTGTACCCATTACACAGGGGAGTTCCTACTTATAACATATCCGAATATAACGGCAAAACTGGTACTCCGTACACTCCAGATCACACGTGGACCCAGTCCATTTGGTGTCTGTATCACCTCTGTATATAACAGCAAAATATCTTTGGTATATTCACATGGGGCTATCCCCATAATCATAGTAATAGTGGTATAATATACACCTGTTATATATATAAGTCAATTCATTTTACTTTCTCATTTCATTCTTCTCACTGATAGTTGACATGTAAGTCACTACTATAATAATTCACATTCTCTTCGTAATTTCGTACACATTTCTTAACTCTCAATAGTTCCTTCTGTCACGTTACTGTTCAAATCCATAGTCCATTATCTCTTCCTAGCTTATTCTTCTCACAGATTGTTTTCTCTTTTACTTTGGCTATTCACTTGGCATAGTTCATAACATAATCTCTATTCCGTGAATCCAGAATTTTCTCAAAATTCTGTACAAATCTCACATATACTTCCCATCACACAGGGATCTTCTAAACATATTCGTCCTATCACAGAGGACTAATTTCACCTTAATCCGTGCACTGGAAAATTATATCAATCCTTGCACTAACACTTATACCTCAACTCATTAACTAATCTTATCATTTTTGTTTTGACATTACACATTAGCTCCTTTGCTAAACACATAATTCCACACTTTATTGTAACTTAGTTCATACACTAATCACATGATTTCCCATCAGGTTGTACATTAGCTCATTTTCTAATCATACAATCTCTTCAGATACTTCCCATCATCATGGATTTCATTCGGCCTCATTGTCCTTTTACAAAAATTTAATAATTTACCTCAACACGGATAACTAGGCACTCAGGACATCACAAGGTGTACATACATATATATGTATACTGGCACTTAGGCCATCACTGGATTATCATCCGTTTATTCATCAGAATAGGTATGTTGGCCATCAGGCCATTAGGTATTATTCACAATGCATTACAACATCCACAAGTAACTAGGCCATTTTAAATTACGATATTCATTCTTTGAGATTTCCAAGGGACCTCCATCATGGATCAATCCTCTTATGCTTCATAACACCTGAATCTCTACATAGTAGCCATTTCCAAGGAGAATTCCACACATTAATGCACACATATAATCTTATTTGTTTCCTTCATGGCATATCGGTCAAGCTAGACCATTATTCCGTTACGGACAATCATACTCTCAATGAACCTTGTTCAATGCCATCCATGGCGATTCTCTCAACTTCTTCCTTATACATATAATACATAATTAATTCATCTCGCCTATGTTTAATCAACACTACCTCCTTATGGATTTAAATCCCATATTTCAATATATCTCAATTTAACAATTGACCAGCATTATAATTTCAAGTGGTCAAAATCCCATAGGATTAATCATCAATTATTCTATTTATTTCTCTGCATGAACCATCTCAATTTGTTTAAGTGTACATCATCCATCAGGGACTTATAACTTCTAATCAGACATAGAATATTCCAACTCATACTTAAGCGTACCTGTTCACCATTTTCAATAATCCAACAGGTTCTAAATCTCTCACCTTGATGAAGTCTATTCACTAAGTCCATTGTACACACTATACTACAGACATACTTGGAAGCTTCACGAATACCGTTTCCATACTATGGACTCATCTCAATTATATATCTTTATTATTCATAGTACTACAAGGTTCACCCATGCGATACCGTACATATCATAGATTTATTTACAACTTTCACTTATAATCCAGCTTTATAATTTTCATCTACAAGGTCAGACGAAACATTTAAGTCTGTTTCCCTTAAGTCCTATAATATTCATATTTTACTTACTGCCATCTCTTGTCCATGGAGCAGTCAATACTGCAGCCACAACATCAGGCTAAGGACTTACATTCGGTGCTCCAAGGTTGCCACGCAGGCTTCTTACGATGACCACGCATGTAACACAAAGGAATGGGATGATCAGACCCACACTAAAGAATCACATATGCAGTAATCGATAAGAATCTACATACAACCATGCAACACAAA